GTAGTGTTCAAGAAATCCGCACGGGCCCTGAGCTGCTGCTGGGCGGCATCGATAAACTCGAGCCATTTCTGTCGTCCTGCCTGATTCGATGCGTACACCGTTAGTTCGTAACCGTTCTTTCCAAGATGTCGGAACGTGATCGGCCACCCATCACCCTTCTTGGCGTCGGTGGTAGTGCGTAGAGCCGGCAGCAAGCTTGACGAAGACCTTTTGACAGCCCCTGAAGGAATAATTTCCTCCATTTCCTTGATAGAAAGTAGCTCCAAGGGTATAGGTCTGCGGTATGCCTTGATTTCTTCTGTCTTGCCAACCTGTTTAATCTTCACAAGGAGAACTGCGTGATCAAACAGGAAAGCCGTGAGATCAGCATTTTCCGTTGGCGACTTCTTGAACTGAGCCTTGTATACAAGCTCACGACCCTCGTCCGTAAGCTTGAGGTCCATCTTGTCGTTGGGGCGGAACTTGAGCTGCTCGTGCAGACGGCGCAGGTTGAAGCGATTTTCAGCCTTGCCCGACTCCGCGTTAACCCTGCTCAAGAGATCTCTGATCATAGTCAGGACCTTGGGAAGATCCTCCTTGTCCGGATTACCTTCTTCCGTATACTTGAGAACGTTTTCTAGAAGTAGAGGATATCTCGCCAGACGTGTGGTTGGCTTGGTGAGGTAACCGTTGAGCTCCAGCTTTCTCGACTCTCTGCGGCGTTCAACCTCGTCCACAAATCTTGCAAAGTCCTTGTTGATGGACCGTTCGTTCTCGAATTCGAATTTGCCTTCCAACTGCTTCGCACCGTAAAGGATGAATGGTTCGAACTGAGGGACAAATTCCAAAAAGATATCTCCAATGTTTTGAACGACTGGCGTCTTTTGTTGCCGTTCAGTGAGACTCTTGGCGAACTTTGAACTGACGCCGTGAATGCTTGGAGGATCGATAATGTTGGTGAAGATTGTCCGTACAACGCGCTCCCGCCGTTGTAGAGGAATCGGAGAATGGCCGTTGATCTTGCCTTTGAGAGGGTAGATCCAGAAATCTCGCAGATACTCGAGATCCTTGACAAAGTCCCTTTCTGTGTAGCAGATCTCACTGATAACCTCTTGCCTCTTCTTCTCTCTGTCGCCGATACTGTCCGCAATTTCCTTCGGTACGCTGTTAATCCACAACTTTTGCTCGTCGGTCTGGTCAACATCGTCATCGTTAACCGCGGCTTTTCCTTCTTGCTTGAGGCCAATTCCTCCCTTCAGGTTCAGCTTGGCCATTTGCTCGAGACGGCGAGGGCATGCGATAGAGTAGCAGAGCTGATCGGGTGTGCATGTTGGAGAGTAACATTCGGATAGCAGGACAAAAACACCATTGACCGCTGGCTTCTCGTCATCGGTCAGTGTTTCCCTGAATTGGTACATTTCGTAGGTTGAATCTCTCAAGCGGTGTTCGTATGTAACATCGTGGAAGAACTTTTGGGCGTCCAAAGCTCTACCCAGCAACAGGGCCAAGTTTCGATCCGTCGTCCTGATAATGTATGACAGCACATCGACGGCTTCGGCACCGCTGAAAGCGTTCTTGTAGGTCAGTTCGTTCTTGGTCCTATCTCCTACAACAATCTTGCGCCGGAACGTTTCGGCCACGCGGGACAGAAGAGCCGGGTATACCAGAGGCATCCTGATCTTGACGGTAACGGGCCGGTCGCCCGTCATGGACGATGCGCCGCCCGAGTAGCGATGTACCAAGGTCCCATCTTCGTTCCGTTCCGTCGGCGCTATCGAAGGAGCGATAGTGGACGCCATGGACATGGTTCGCCCATTCGGGTCGACGGTTGTCGTGGACGTGATGCTGACAGTTCTTCCCGACTGGCTTCCGGGAGCTGGGTATTGCGAAGGGGCAGGGCCATGGTCTGGGCTGGATCCTGGTGCCCTCCTGTTGGGTATGACTCTTCCGCTAGGAGTTTGGTGGGCATCGCGGTCGTATGAGGGGTAGCCGGTCATGGACATGGCACGGTCTTCCATATGCCTCTCGGGCACAATGCGCCCCTGTGCGGTTGTCCGAGCCGAGCTCCCAGTGTATTGAGCCTGGCGGAAAGCGTTGGCTGGCGACTGTTGCGGGGTCGAGCCCTGATACATCTGTGGCCGGGGAACGCTCGCAAGCGACTGTGATCGGTAGGGGTCGGAGTTCAAGGCCGGCGCCGGTCTGCCCCCCGGCTGGTTGTAATAAGCCTGGGCAGGAGATCGCGAGGCATTGTTGTAGAAACCCTGGGGCGCAGGGCCCCTAAGAGAATCGGCCCTCACAGAGTCGCCCCTTGGAGCATGTTGAGGGGGGTAGGCGCCAGGAGGGGGTCGTCGCGCCGCTTGTTGTTGTTGTAGGTACTGAGCAGAGGGAACTTGCTGTCCGGCGGAGACGGAGCGCTGGCTCTGGCCGTATCCATTCGTGTCAAGGCGCGCCCGGGGGTCACCATAGCCTCCTCTTTCCCCTGATCCACTGCCTCCTCCTCCGGGTCCGCCGGGCGGTGGGGGGCGCTGTTGCGGCGGTCTCTGCATGGAGGCTCCCGACGTGGACGACATGGTATGGGTTCGGCCCTCGTTGAGGTGCATCATAGGGGGTGGGACGGAGGAAGTCATGGTGTGCGATCGGCCGGGGGGCGGGGCGGCGCCGAAGATGTTGGAGAAGGCGGCATCTCGTTGTCCGTAGCCGTCACCACCGCGACTGCCGGGGGGAGGGCCGTACTGCGGGTGATTGGATCGGGACCGGGGGTCTTGATGATAGTCGGCCATGACGGCGGCGGCGGGCGGACGGACGGCTGGCGTTGGAGGCGAGTCGGGTAGTGCTGCTGGTGCGATGCAAGCTAGAGGTTGATGCGAGGTGCTCACTCGCTCGCTCGCTCCTGTCGTAGGTATTTCGATTGTTCTTCGGTCGGCGGTGCTCGGGCGCTGTACAGGTACGGTAGGTAGGTAGGTAGGTAGGTCTGATGGACAGGTCGATTCGGTAGAGGCACGGTACGACTGTGCAGGCAATCTGCAATCTACTCGCCAAGTGTAGCCGACCACCTGCGCAGCAAGAAGCACGGCCTTCAGTTGGTCTACCTCTCTGTCGTCGATTGGAATACCACGGTAGACGGGGACGGGGACGGGGACGGAGACGGAGACGGAGAGGGGGAGAACTGAAGGGTCAAGGTCGCCAATGTACGGGTACGGGGCTGGAATGTCGAACTACTACTACAGCCAGGGCAGCGCAGAGGTGTGCGGTGGATGATGGCTGATGGGATGGCTGATGGGACCCGACCGAATGACCGACCACTGAGCGCAGGGCTTCTACAGGGGCCATTTGCAATCAAAAGTGGAGCATCAGGAACCGGCGTGGGCTTTGATCTGGTCCCGTCTTCCTTGGTTGGTTGCATCTAGATCAACGACGGGACTCTTGACCACAGCTAGCTAGAGTAACTTTTGATATTCAGATGTTAGAGGTAGGTTCAGGTGAAGAGGCAGATACGCCAAGCATGGCAGTGGTCTGGTCAAAAATGAGAAACATCACGATACAACAAGAACGTGAAGATGGAACGTCATGATGGAGGGAGGAGGGTGGTATTCTTCTAGATGGGCTGTCCTATCACATCCCCCGTTCTTGATAGCTTGTCCTGCCCGTGTTGGCTGTGCCGCCAGATGGCCGATCAGTCGGATTGTTTACGAGGGTGCAGCAAAATATGATGCCCGTGTGCGCTCCGAGGTCGTTTTGTTGCACTTCCGGGCGGTTGTGATACGGAATGGGGGCTGATGTTATACTGGGAGAAGTCGTGTAGATGCGTAAAAATCCATGTCCCGGTCAACTTTTCTAGTCCTGGTTCATCAAGAAGTTCAGCGAGATGAACTGGGTTGATGTTCAGCTTGCGATGGGGAGATCGAATTCCGCGCGCTGTCCAAGTCTTCTGGTCGCATACATAAAGCAAAGCTGAATGTCACTTGTTGCTCGGTGGTTAGGCGATCCACCAGGTCAGAACGTTGTTGTTCCTAGAATTGCGGGGAGGCGATTCCCCGTCGACTAGGGGCACAAAAGGGGTTCAACTTATTACAACTTCGAGTCCATCCTTGACTGTTTATGGAATCTGCGATAGAGCATCATCCAGTATAGAGAATTTCTCATTCAAGTGCCACGGCGTTGAATAGCGATGATGCCATTGGCACTGAGCAAGGCCGAGGAAGTGTGAAAGACTCGACGATATGATTCCATTGTTAGGTGGTTGGAGGCAGCCCTATCTCCAATCAAGCCAATCCTACTGTCACTGTGTTCGTCAAGCGGGGTTCGTATGAACAATGAGAGGGTTACCCGAAATGTCAGAACACCATGCAATGTCTTTAACGCACTGGTTCAAGTACGGTTGAGCTTACACAAATAAGGGGAAAAGAATGATGAGAACGTCACCTTACGGGACACATTTGGCGCCACCCGGGCTTCATGTTTCCGTCTCAGCTTGAGCAACTCTTGTTCAATTCGCATATGATCTAGACTACCTAACTTGTGCCTTCCAGAGTTCGGTCAAATATACAACTTGGATGATGCCATGCCGCTGAGTTAAACCCGCGACGCTCAGCCAAACAGCTGGCTAGTCTTCATTAAGTCAATTGGAGGCCGTCGCTGAGTACCAATTCCATCATTGCCCGATGAGTGTCAAAGTTTATCGCGGCATCCATCTTGCAGTGATATTGATACACCAGTCAAAAGCCAAGCCTGCATGCACCAAAGATGTTCCTGAGCTTGCACGTGACTGTACACGCTAACTGTCTGGACGCCAAGCCAGCCTGGGGCAGGCGGCAGTGGTCCAAGCTTCCCGCTGCATTGCTGGAGTGCGTCGTTGCGTCGGCTGTCTCCATTGAACCAGGAAGCAGCGTCTCGAGTCTCCAACTGACGAACATCCCACTCGACCTCACAGCGCCTGGCTCCCCAACTTTTGCCAGTTTCCCTGCGCTTCACACTATCGTCGCCAACATTCTGATTCAGTCTCTTGTCTATAAGCTATAACCATGGCCGAAATTATGGCCGATTCGGAACTTGCCCCCAAGTTCGCGCCGTTCATTGGCATGGTACGTCAACAGCAGTCGCGAAACCACCCATCCCCGGTGGCCAACAAGGTGCAGCTAGGATAGGAAGGGACATCACCACGCAACCGTCACTCGACAAGAACAACATCCAGTTCCACTAACAATGTTCTCTCTAACCAGGCCGGCATCGCAGCCGCCATGATCTTTGGCAGTACGCTTCTCCCAATTCCCGACTTCACGCCTTACCAACATCACAAACGCTGACCATGTCGTTTCCAATTTCACAGGCGCGGGCGCTGCATATGGCACAGCCAAGTCTGGCATCGGTATCGCCGGCGTGGGTACCTTCCGGCCGGACCTCATCATGAAGGTTAGTTTCCCTCTAGCAACATGGCTACAGTACTCATCTGCAGAGACTAACATGCTCTCCTACGACCGATAGTGCTTGATTCCCGTCGTCATGTCCGGTATTATTGCCGTTTACGCCCTCGTTGTAGCTGTCCTGATCGCACAAGATCTCGGGCCGCCAGGATCCGGCCAACATTACAGCTTGTTCAAGTACGTTTCATAACCGACGACATCTCTAAGTTTACAGACTCGGGCTATGGATATCACATATCCTGGGAAGAGCACAACTAACGCTCCGTTCTCCCCACAGTGGCTTCATGCATCTTGCATGCGGTCTTTCAGTCGGCCTCACCGGTCTTGCCGCGGGCTATTGCATTGGTATCGTAGGCGACAAGGGCGTCCGTTCGTTCATGCTACAGTCGAGAATCTTTGTCGGCATGGTTCTGATCCTCATTTTCGGCGAAGTCCTTGGTCTTTATGGGTAATATTTCAACCAACTAACCCCCCCGCTGGTGAGCTATCGTTTCAGAGTCTTGAACAATATGCTGACCAAGGTTTGGTGCTTAGCCTCATTGTTGCCCTCATCCTCAACACCAAGAGCAAGGGCTAAATATTCGACTTCGAATTGAGTCTTCGAGGGGCAACAATCCCAGACAGAAATCGAGACAAAAGGAAGGTCGTGGTTTACTATCGGTGTACACAAACTTGGTATGAGCAAGGACTGGACGGGATATGCGCCCCGACAACGAAAGAACGAGCCTTGTTCAGGAAAGGATGAGACGTACGACAGCTGAATGAATGGGTACCTTGGGGGCGCTAACCTGAAAGTGTTTAGCATTTTGGCCTGGCGTTTAAACGGGATTGCTGTTGCTACTTGGCTTATTTGTTTTGGGTTACGGTCTTGGTCAGGCCGAAGTAGAAATATAGAGGCAGAAGTCAACATCTTTAATGTTGATGGTACGGCATGCCAGCACCTGTGTCTTTGGTATTTCATCCCATCTGGTCTTGTCATCGCATAAAAGAACCCCTATCCTGTTTCCTTCATCCTCAATATCTCACTCGTCAATTCTGATGGTGCCCTCAGCCCTCAAACCTACTTACTGTGACAACATGGATAGGCTATGAAAGAGACTATGAGCAATGTTATGGGGCTAGATAAAACCCGAAACGCAGTGCAGTAAAATCCTAATCGTGACGGAGGCATTGGCAGTTCACCAGCACATTCGGACATATGAAAATTACCTTACCACTTATGCCTTGCCAATTGATATACATAGACGATGACTCGTATTACTAACAACACACGTGATCACCATTAAATTATCTCTTCCGGGCTCCAGCACGCAGAAAATGACTCGAGAGAAAATATTTTGGAGAATAGATCAACTGACACTGCCTCGAGACTGCCACCAAGACAACACAGAAACTAAACTCAATGTGGAGTTTTACACGAAGATCGGTGCATGATCCCAACCTTGAACAACAAAGACTTTTTCAATATAACTCTACGTTTTTGATTCTTCCCTAGCATCATGCTTGTACATGGCTGAACATGAACAAATAGCTAACCTAGCTAGACCTTCTTTTATCATCCACCATAACTTCCTCCCTTCCCTTCGAAAAAAAACATCGACATTGCTCATATCAGTCATCAATTTCAAGTCCATTGCCAGAATGAATCTTTCCAACAACCTCCGTCCCAGACAACATTTCACATCATCGGCAAAGCACCACGGTAGCAAACAAAAACAACGCCATCATGCAAAAAAATGGGACGGACAATGTCACACAGCAACCAGACAGAAACGTTCATCTGTTGACCGAGAGATCAAGCGAGAGGTCAGAAACCGTGCCCATGCAGAAGTGAGAAAGGAAACGGAGAAATGAAGACAAGGAAAACGAAGAGGAAAACGAAGTTTGGGAAAAGAATGCTACTGCAATCGATCCGTCGCGACAACCCAGGCTTGGGCATGCTTTTATCATACCATACCCCTTTTCGATTCGACAGAAGAAGGGAGAGGGAAAAAAAAAAAAAAGAAAAGAAAGAAAGAAACAGAAAGGGCAAGACACTGAAATGAAAGGAGAGAAGGAAAAGTGAAAAGCAAAGAACCAAAATCGCAAAACGCCGTTGGATGATGCGTCGTGTCGTCCAGCGAGGTGAGGAAGAAAGACGACAGGGGAAAAGGGAAAAGGAAATCGAAAAAAAGAAGAAAAAGAAAAACGGAAAGTACGAAACTCGTCTCATCATGATGGCTGATCGATGAACACTCTTCAGCCTTGCTGTCTCTAAAGCTGCTGCTGCTGCTGCTTCTCGCCGCGACACAAGCGGCATACAGCCCGACGCTATCGCGCCCGCATGCCGAGCCGGAAAGGCAGCTTGCTGGTGCGCGTCTCCATGTTTTTGCGGAACCGGCGCCAGCCCGGTTGGCGCTCTTCTTGTTCTCTCATGAGGTCTGTTTTTTCAGAGGGTTAAAATCAAGTCTGCTGACTGGAAAACAATTGTCAAAAAAGAAAGAATAGACAAACGTACTCAGAAACAGATCCCACCGATGGTTCTCCTGAATCAAGATATCGCCATTCTCCCTCGCCAGCCTCTCCCGCCGCGCCTTGGCCGCCGCCTCCTCGCCTACCAGGTACGGATCCTCGAGCGGTCGCGGGCGGGCCGCGTTGTTGCTCGGGTTGGGGTTATTGCGCTCCTCTTCGATGCGATCGAGAGCCCGTCTGAGACCGTCCAAGTTCGTGGTGGAGGCGTTGGCTGCTGCGCGCCTTTGCGCGACGTTTTGGTATTGGCGGAGGTTGGGGTTGGAGGACATGGATGAGAGGGAAGGGATGCGGAAGTCGCCAAGCACCGGGAAGTCGGTCCGCGACGGCGGGCCGGAGGGTACCGGGGGAAGACCGACCCTGGGAGGAGGAGAGCTGGAGTTGGTGGATCGGGAGGGGGTGTCTGGGGTGGTCTGGGCCCGGGTCCGGGTGCCGGCGACGGGACGGGAACCGGCGTTGGTGGTGGTGGTGGTGGGGAGGGAGGTGGAGCTGGCGGCCGCGCTAGTCCTCATGTTGGTGGTGCTCCGATTCTGGTTGTTTCCGAGCCTGGCAATGGTGCTCGAACTGTCATTGGCGGCCGAGTTGGTACCGAGGCGGTTTCGGTGTCGTGTTGTGCTGGTGGTAGTTGCAGTAGTGCTGTCGGAAGTGGTTCTGCTACCGCTAGTTCTACTGGCGGTTCTCGAGGTACCCCGAGAAGTACTGCCGGAGGACGAGGTTTCGGCCCCGGCACGGGTACGGGTGCGACTACGTTCGCGGCGGGGCTCTTCCGGCGGATCGGGAAGTGTTGCGGGAACTAGAGAGGAGAGGACACCGAGCCGGCCAGCCATATCCCATCCTGCAGCTGGCGGTGAGTAAGGCGGTGCAGGCTCCGCCGGAAGGTTGTATGGATCGGCATACGAGTACCGATCCGAATGGTAGGAAGGCACCTCGGAGACTAGATTGTAAGTATTCAACTATCAGTGCATCTGTTTATGGAACGAAATAGTGAATCTGGTTTGGTGAACTTACTGTAAGAAGGAGCAACGGAGCGAATTGAGGCGGTCTCGGCCATCTCGATCATAGAAGGGAAACGGCGAGACGGTGCTTGAGAGGCCATCTCGATCATAGATGGGAAGCGGCGAGACGGCGCCTGAGTAGCGGTGGTAACCATGATTGCTATTTCCTACGATCCTCTTGTCGACCCCAAGCTACAAGTAACTAAGATAGAGAGGGAGGAAGAATGCAGAACGGAAAGAAGGTTGGGGAGTTGCTGCCAGCGGACGGGGGGAAAAGGCGTAGCAGCAAGGCCAGCTGAGCGCGGTGACGGTGAAGCAGTGCAGTGTAGGTGAACGGCAACCAGCACAGACTTGTTACTCCAACGTGCTAGACGACACAATTACCTGATCTCCTGTAGCAATTCCAACGTTGTTCAAAGCGGGGAAACGAAGCCTTTGACGCAGAGAACGGGGGAGAGGAAACAATGAAACATTGAGATGAAAGAAGACTCGAAGAGGGCAGAAGAGCAACAGATAACCTTTTTAAAGCTTCTGCGAGACCAAGACGCGGGGAGGTTTTGGGAGGTAACAAACTCGTTCGCCCGGGTCGCTCGACAGCACCAACTCCCGTCCAAGCTCGAACCCTGGTCTGTAGACCTGTGCAGCTGCTGGAGCTACCTACCTCTACCTTGGCTACCCCAGCCCAGCAAAGGCCCAGTCCCATCGACCCCTACCTTCGCGGCTGCGAGGCAGTGTTGTAGCAGCTCCGTACAGTGGCCCAGTGTCCAATACATAATAGATATGTACACGTCCCAAGGGGAAAGTAACCAGAACGGGGTCTAATCAGGGGCCAAGAAGTTGATTGTGGTGACACGTGAGAAACGTTGTAGGAGAACCCAATCAGAGGAAGAGGCAGCGCGGCCAGCGAGGCTTACCGTCGGGGCTAGGTTCGGACCATGTTCTGGAAACGGGAAGAGAGGAAGAAAACGATAATCTGACCAGGGGAGAGACACGCAGGGCACACACTCACGCAGCACTTCATCGGCAGCCTGGACAGGCAAAAAGAAAGAACAAGCAGGCAAGGCAGCTCTAGCGCACCTCGCTGCCGGGTACATACGCCAACAAATGGAAAGGTGTGAACCCTGGCTGCGTGGTGGTGATGGTCATATGTAATAATGATGGTGGTGGAGCATGGGCTTCAGAAGAACGAGACTCAACGCCATGGAGTGTTTGGGTAGGTTTGTGGCTTTCGATATGGAAAATGGAGGGGGCTGCGGGGTTTTGGTTGGAAGCTTGGCGCCGCAACTGCATGGATTGCTTCCTACAAGAAAGAGACCTGACCTCGGTCCGCCAAAGAGCAGAAAGACTGCGTTGAACGAGGGGAAAATGCACAGCATCAAGGTACCGGGCCACGTACCTGACGGCTGGGCTGCAGACACAACCGCAAACACATGATGCGCGGTCGACACTCACTTGACTTCACATCTGTGTCGCTTTGTGCTTGTCTGGGGATGCATGTCTTGCGCCCGAGTTCGAGCTCGATAAGTTGGAAGTTGTTTCGAAACATGGAGATAAGAAGCGGATATGTACCTATGGATAGCCATTGTAGGTATCCTTCCATTGTATAAGTTGCACAACGGCAATTGGCAAACCCCGAGTGTGCCGGCCGATTGACCCCGGAACCCCGTATCCACGAGGTTGGATACGGATTGGATATAGCATCCACCTTGGAATGCCACCGAAGCTCCTCAACTTCATCATTGTATGGGGATGCCGTCGTCAAATTTGGAGCCGGGGCTGAGTGCGTCATGGACGATGTACGGCCACGGAGGAGCCGCTGTTGCAGCCGTCTCCATGACATACACATACATACTGGTAGTGTAACGATTCTTGTTGCAAACTGGAAAAGGCGCGTTCTTCAGCTTGTTATCGGAAAACGGCACATGGGCCGGGTTTCCGGGCCGGCCACTTAGGTCTTGTACCTGCAGTTGATCGTCCATGGTAGCCAAGAAAAGACCCTCCTCGACCCTGTGGCGCGCGAGGTGTACACTACGAAAGACGCGGGAGTTGATAACAACCACATTCTTTGCTTCTTCTCGCATCGAAGCCAAGGACCCAGCAAGGTCCACACCAAATCCAAAACATCTCAGCGGTAAGAATCAGGACTCGGTCAAGCGGAGCTGGAGAGGTTGGCTGAGGCAGGCTGAGGTTGGGTACATACACAGTAGCTCGGAGTATGTGAAACTCACTACAGAATCCACCTGTATGGAGTTCTGCTTGGTCACTGAATCTCCGGCGGCTGACCAACAGTCGGACTATTCTTCACTCGCCGTGGGAACAAAGGCAATCCAATGCCATCGAAATTTCGGAATTTGATACACGAAGCACGGTGCCAAGGCAACGTTGGTATCTAATCTTTGGTCAGCAGGCACCCCAACCTGGAAGCCCACAGTACTATCATAAGTCTCTCGTCCACATCTCCTTCAGTTCTTTATCTGATTGCACTATCATGGTTGAGTGTTGGTCGGTGTTATTCAGACCATGTGCTCACCTACCAAATCGGACGGTGATTGGGAAGTTTCACGTGCTTGTGCGTCGAGGTACATAACGGTAATACGCGAGCTCCGGTCACGCCCTCAAGCGACACTGACAAGTGAGGACTCTCAGAGCCGATGGCAGGCATATCGATAAGCGTTGCCTGCCGTGCCGAGGCCGGCGGGTACCCTGATGGGCCAACTCAACGCCCGTCGGCGCTATGACAAACCGCAGACTACAGACGAACCGACACCGACATTGCAGTTGCATAGTACATGACATTACATCAGAAGCCATATTTGTTACGTATAGTGTTACACATCGGTACGCCTTCGTGATGGCTGTCAAAGCCTCAATCCTTGTCGCCAGTGCCATTGCGACACTGGCACGGGCAGCGCAGCCCGGAGCTGCATCTCCCATCGCCGCGCCTATGCGAGACCTCGTCTGGGGCAAGCTCAACTTCCTCCACACGACAGACACCCACGGCTGGCATGGCGGACATCTACAAGAAGCACAGTATTCGGCTGACTGGGGTGATTACATATCCTTTGCCGAACATCTTCGCAAAGAAGCAGATGGGCAGGGCGTTGATCTGCTCCTTGTCGACACCGGCGATCGCGTCGAAGGAAATGGACTCTACGACGCCTCGAATCCAAAGGGGAAATACTACTATGACATATACCGCGAGCAGGACGTCGACATCATATGCACGGGGAACCACGAGCTGTACCATGCCTCGACTGCCGATGGAGAACACCTGCGGACCGTCCCGAACTTCCAGGACAAGTACGTTGCGTCCAATCTGGACTACATCGACCCTAAGACGGGACTGCAGATCCCCATGGCGCAGCGGTACCGCAAGTTCCAGACCAAGAACCAGAAGCTGAATATTGTCGCCATGGGTTTTCTTTTTGACTTTACCGGAAATGCCAATAACACAGTGGTACAGCCCGTGAGGGAGACCATCAAGGAGCAGTGGTTCCAGGACGCCATCAGGGAGAACCCCGATGTGTTTGTGGTGATTGGTCACGTCGGCGTGAAGATGCCCGAGTTCAAGGAGATCTTCACAGCCATTCGTAAGCAGAATCGGTTCACGCCCATCCTGTTCTTCGGCGGCCATGTGCACGTGCGTGACGCGACGGCGTATGACTCCAGATCGTTCGCTATCGCCAGCGGTCGTTACTTTGAAACGATCGGCTGGATGTCGGTGGACGGTGATCTGAAGAGGGCAACCAAGGATGTCGTCGTTGCTGCTGTCAATGACGACGAGCCGTCTTCGACTGAGGCTGCGGGATTCTCGTTCCACCGTAGGTACATCGACAACAACCTACTGGGTCTCTACTATCACACCGGGTTGAACAAGTCCACATTTCCTACAGAGCACGGCCGAAATGTGTCACAAATGATCGCCCAGGCCCGCAAGGATCTCGATCTGGACTACACGTTCGGCTGTGCACCAAAGAACCTGTGGATGACGAGGGCGCCCTATCCCTCCGAGGACAGCATCTACACGTGGCTCGAGAAGGAGGTTCTTCCAGAGATCGCCATCAACGACGACAGGAAAGATGTCCCTCGTCTGGTTATCATGAACACCGGTGCCATCCGGTTCGATGTCTTCAAGGGCAAATTTACCAGAGATACGACGTATATCATCTCGCCCTTCCTCAGCGTCCTCAACTACATCCCCGACATCCCTTACGAGGTTGCCAGTAAAGTTATCGGCTTACTCAACAACGCCGGGCGGATCATGGAGGAGCATGCTCCTATGGATGCTCGATTTATGGCCATCCCGGAGCAGTTCGCCATCACACAGGACATTATTCATGAGAAGCCAATGCCTTCCTTCGCGAGTGAGGGTCTTGTGGACGGGCAAAAACCCCTGTCAGGTGATGGCGGCTCTAAGAAGGAGCCCGTTTTGATCGAAGGCTATACGACAAAGGATGATATTGGTGACGATGGCGATGATGCTATCCACTCTGCCATCAACTTCTATGTCGTGCCTAACTGCATCCAGGCCGAAGTTGGGTTCTCGCCCAAGGAGGAGGACAAGAAGCCTGAAAGGGTTGATCTCGTGTTCTTTGATTTCATTCAACCATGGGTCATGGTTGCGCTGAAGATCTCCGGAGGCGACTACACTAATGATGATGCCAAGAGATATGTCAATGGGACCTTTACGGAATTGATGGCGGGCTGGATTAAGGAGAATTGGCCTGCTAACTGTTAGGCACAACAGCCATGTTGTTCATAGTCTCGCTGGCACGGGAAACTGAAGGCACGGCGGCCTGAGACGGGGCTCGGTCATGCGGTACGGGATGTGTCACATTGGCGTCTATTTCTTGATGACCTGGCTGGATTGAGGGATCAAATATGAATTATGAACGGGATAATGATTTCAGAATGTAAATAACAATGGTAACATAGCGAGTGCTGTGCGCAAAACGAATATAAACCCAGCACTTGAGCTGAACCTGGTTGTTGAACCCGCCAAAGTATCATGTATCCCATTACTCTGCGCCTTGAACGCCGCGCCGTATCCGTGTAAATGCTACAAAACGAACCATCACCATACCCGCGCAACCGACATGTACCCCCTTCTCCTCTTCCCACAGACCCAATTACAAGTCGTTTCAGTCATAGCCAGGCTACAACTGATCCAACAGCCTCCTCCTCCTCCTGTCAATAAGCTCCTGCGCAACCTCCTCCATCGTAGGAAGCTCCCACTCCGGCAACGGTTCCCATCCGGGAGGCGGCTCCAATCCCGCCGCCGCCTTCGCCAGGTTCTCAAACGCCTGCCTCTCCCTTGCCGCCTCATACGCCAACAGCTTCTCGTCCTCCTCGTCCGGCGCATACCCGTAATACGCCGCATCCACCTGTTTCCTTAAATCATCCCTCGTCTCCAATGGCTTCTCATCATCCTGCTTCGCCCTCGCCGCCGCCTCAAACAGCTCCTTCACACCGGGTAACTCCCTCGCCCTGCCAAAGTACTTGTACCCCCTCCCTCCACCAGGGATCTCCCGCCCGGCTTCGTCGTACACCTTCCCTCCCGAGCGCATGTAGTTCGGTCCGCCCAGGTTGCGGATCTGCACCTCCCACATGTGTTTTTCTCTCATGAGCTTGTTGATCTCATCGTTGAGGTCGCGAATCTGATAGTCGGATAGGGCTGGGTCTTGGATGCGAGACACCTTGCGGGAGATTTCCTTGAGGACTTGGCCTCGCCACTTTTCGCATGCGGGAATGCTGTCTTGCTCGGTGATGGAGCGGGGGCGGCGCGTGCGCCCGGCGTCGATGATGCCCAGGTCGGCGGCTTGCGCTTCGCGAAAGCGGAAGAGCATCGACTGGGCCTTTTCGGAGTTGCGTGCCTGGGTTGGAACATTGTTAGTACACGAATTGTACAGATAGAAGAGTCGAACAGTGGGACTGATCAGGAACATACCATTTTGGATGGTGATTATGGGTTGCGCTGGGGAAATTAGGCGTGGAAGGGTATTGTGATTGATAACCTAAGCTCGCTCCTGAGACGAAGCAAGTAGGATCTGCTGGGGATTGTAGGCGCAGTGGGAGGTTTAACTGTGGCCAGCCGTGGATTTTACGTGTTGCCGGAAATTCGAAGATGATGTACTGGTACAAGACAGAAGGCTGCAAGGCTGTGATGCCTCGTTTGTGTGGTGGTGTGGCGTTTCTGTAATTGTGGCCCGAGCTCCACTGCAGATGATCAACGGGCGCCGCAATTCGAACGCGTCCCGAATCTCGACCTGCATCCAACAGTCACCAGGTTGATTACCTCTACACCTTAAACTTCTCCCATTCGAACCACGAAAATTTACAGCCACCCTTAGAACGTGGGATTCTACTCCGTTGCCGCAGTATCGCGCGGCTTTGAAAGTCACTGCAAACTTGAGAGGCTCGGTTTGGTTTGGCTTCCAGCTGAGTAACTCCTCCCACGTCTGGCGAGGCGGCGATGCCCGAGGATGCACATCGCTCTTTCTGAATAAGCATGCGAACCGAGGTCTACCTATGGAGCGAGCCAACATTCTAATCACCATCCTTTCCTATACTCCCATTCCTTCGTCAATGCTTTCGACCCTTCATTTCTGCAACCTCAATCTATCAGCGCCTGGCAACGATCCTCCTCGAATCACAACCACCCCTCCTCAAGTCATACCTTCAGCTACCTTTCACGAACTCACCCAACACTTCCTTGTTTCATTGCCACTTGCTTCATCTACTCCCAGGGTCCTGCAGTGAAGAAAACCATCACAATTCAGGGTGTCTTGATTCCACCGATAGGGGCATCTTCCCTCTTCGAGGAGTCGACGAACCATCTGGCAGAAGATGAAAGCCCAACAAGAACGGATATCTGAGCAGACCTCTTCAACAACTCGTACCCCACAACTTTCTGCACTACTTCCACCATACTTTTACATTTCCCCTCCTCCCTTCCTCATCAGTTCACATGCACCCCCATCCGGACATGTGTACACCTGGCCCTCTGCTTTGGACCTGGTCCGGCTGTAGCCTCGACCGTCTACCCAGCATGAACGTCTCACAGCCAGCCTTATAAATCGCCGAATCCTACCCATGGAGTGGTTCTTAACCAGAAGTTACGAACTCCTTACCCTATGGAAGGATCGGGGCTTGGTTGCCGCAAGGCTGGATGTCCCGTTTTGGTTTTCCAAGACGGGCATCATGTGAGATACGTTCTGCTAGCTGTCGAGGTTATCAGTCGGCCTTGGTCCAGAGCGGCAGGATCATTTTTTGCAGACGTCTGGATGAAGAACAAATGTTAGTGTGGCCGTCCTTTCCACAACTTGGAGTAGCTGGGACACGCATCGCGCACCAAGCACTACCATTGCCGCCACAATGCCTGGCTGGGAAAGTTACTCTCACCGAAACTCTCGCCTTCACCAGCAAGGGTTCGTGTCCCATCGCTAGCGTGAGGCAGAAAAGGTCTCATGTGCTTGCCGCACGAGTATTCCCCTTCGCGCGAGGTACGTTACCCTACTACACCATGGTCATGGGCGGGCTATCCTCCTGGCTTTTATCACCCCCTCTCCCTACTTCCATATTTCCCTGTCACTGTCTGCAGCCCGCAATGACGATAAACCAACGGCCAGAGGTGCGCCGATGCAGAGGATCGTGCTTGCTTCTCTCGCTTTCTGTTTTCCACGACAGAAGGCTTGTAGGGAAGACAGGGCGCCTTCTTTGCGTCTAGAGCAGCACCGATGACGGATAAAATTGTAGTTTTCAATCGGAGGGGGTTTGCAGGTAGACTTTACACTCTGCCTGGGGGCCTTGGAACGAGATGGAGAGACCCTTACACCTTTCTCCTTTTCCTCTTCCCAAACAATGAACACGGAGCCCGGTGATGACCGAATTCCAAAAAGCCAAATTTGCAGGCAGCAGAGCTATAGGTCTACAAACAACCTTTCTATCACTGAAAGGAGATTTGGCTCGCGTTGTCAGTGAGAACTTAAGAGAGCTAATCTGAGGGCCCTCCGTGTCATTGTCATCTGTTTTTTTCTCTGCTTTTAATGAATCTTTTATTCGTTGTCGTTCATATCACCATTTTTTCTTTGGGTTGCTGTCTTGAACGAGAGTGTGTAATGCTATCGCTGACAAACTATACATGTATGCATATGGGATACTCTCAGGAACATGCGGTTGAGGTTGGGATGTACGATAGTATCTAGACTTTCTAGTGTACCTTATGAGGTGATAAGACGCCTAGACCTCGATAAGTTCTCTCATATGCATGTCTTATCACCGTGGCAGTGATCTCCGAAAATAGTAATAGTCCATCAAAGGCCCAGACCGTGACCGACCAAAGGGGACCCAGTCCGTAGTTCCCGTTCCCGTTATCTCCGGGCCGGGGAGCCCGGGGGTCCGGGCTTGCCGTTCTGGTTCTACGTCAAGTGGGATCTTTATAAACCCACGATTCAGTTCCATCAGTCAGTCCGATGGTTCCCGTTCCGTATCGTACCGCGGAGGCATCTAGACGGACACCCCCATATTTCACCGGACCGGACCGGATCAGGCCAGATTCCAAGCGGGCTGTGCATACAGGGATCTGTACGATTTTGCAATATCATCTTGCAGGGTTTCATAGAGGCGGGCCTATACGTTGTTGTAGTTAATGCCTGCTGCTGCTGCTGCTGCAAGACCCTGAAGCTACGCTGTGTTGCTACGAGAAGGAGGTGGGGCTTGGCGAGGGAAGAGGGGGCGAAACTAATATAGAGAGGTATTCAGTCGCCAGCGTAGACAGGTTGAGAGGCAGTCGCGAAGTTGATAGATCAATAGTTACCTAAATAACACAAAGATCGTAAGATAGTGGCGATTTAGTACAAGTTCCCCGATGCAAAGATGGAATGCTATAGATTCAACTTTTCGAGGTGGTAAAAGAGTGTCTAGAGTAAGTGGGCGGCGGGATGGTGGATGAGTAGGATGTATATACGGTACATACGAAGCGAATACGGAAAGACACGATGGATCTAACCCGAGAAATACCGAGGCTTCACTTTTGTCTCCTTCAACTGTTGTTGGCCTTTGCTTCCTTTACATCTAACCGCTGTTTACATCACATACCAACAGTATTAGCTGTACCCACTTCCGTTTGGACAACTAGGTAGGACTCGGGTATTGAATCATTACCTAACCACTTACGAACAGTCAGACCAGATACAATCACAAAATTGGGGGAAGATGGGGCAGATTTCAGGCTTGGGCTGTCCTATCACATCTCAAAGAACCAAATTGACATGCATACGGGTAAGGTAGCTTCGAAGCGCCATGGCTATACATGCAAGTGTAACGGTAGCAGTGCAGTTTTAAGAAGCAAATGGGACTGAAGGTCAGAAGTTGGGTGGGAGGGTTCCATGTCCCGTTGTGTGGAGGATGATGGATGATATTATGGAGGATCGTGGATGATTGGGGTACAAGGAGTATGGAGGAGCTGGAGGACTGGAGGACTGGATGACTATGAGGCGGGGGGATGTGTGGAGGATGCTGTGATACTTTGAGGGCAATAAACGAGTGGTAGTCTGGGAAGTTGACACGTGCATGTGGTGGACGATACGGGGATCTTTGTATTGTTTGGGGTGATGATCTGAATGGCAGTGGTTGTCATCGACTTGAAATGGAGTTGCACGGAGTTCCGTCAGGGATCACGACAGGGCCCTTGATCGTATGGGGTTGAGGCGTCGATGGGTGCTGAGGATGCGAACATTGAGAGTTGTTGTGTGGTTGAGGAGACAGAACGTTGGAGTTGCAACTGCTGCTTGAATGGCTGGATGATGCATTCTCCCATCGTATGTGGATAATAACAGGAGAAACCATTCCCCTTTGACCGGGAGAAGGGCGATTTGGGCTTTTTATCGTAGGACAGATCGCATGCGGTACTGCCCTATGGCTGACTCGGTCTTTAAGAAACAAATGGTGCACATCGTTGGTTGTGTTGTTATTTTGGGTTGAGCGATCGTTTCGGGTAGCATTGCCGCAGACTCCATACCCCTTGTCATTGCCGATGACGACGATGAAAGGAAAAGCGGCGTGTCTCTATCGGTGACCGTCGGTCTAAGTTGGAGAACGATTACGAGGAGACAGTGGCGATGCGGTTGCGTCAGGGATGACGGGTTGAAATGGAAATGGGAGAAAGCGAGAGGAAAACGCGAAGCAGGGTTTCGGATTATGCTGATGGGACATGGCATCTGCCCAGGAGACATCCGAGGCCTGCTTACCGTTTGCTCTATCGACTTCACTGCAGTTTTTGACATATGCTCTGCGGAAAGAGCAGCTGTTGCTACTTTGTCCATCCTGGTTGTCCCGCGTCTTACCCCTCTCCTCCCTTTGTTTTCTAGGTGCATTCTTTCCTCATCCGTGCTTTCCTTTGTCTCTAATGATTTTGGTTGCGGTCGGCTGGCGTATTGGGCGCCAGCGTGTGTTCTAGAACTCCTGGAGGGCGGCTCGATTTTCGAAGGATGAAACGCCATTTGCTAATGCTATCTCCGATGCTTGTTATCAAGCACATGTACGTTGTGAGGCGATGTTGGGATGCGCGGTACGTAACTTTGAGAAAGAGCTCTCTGTCTTGGAAACTCGGGTGCATTACATGCAAGTCGGCATTATAACATACTGCTGAGTATGATGTTACCACACAATCATCTAACAGTGTCTTTTCAAAATCCTGTACGCGAACGACAGGAAGCGCTGCTGGATCTCTGCTGGTACCAGTTGTTGGCCCTTGCCCTGTTGGCGTTGCCATGACCATGACCTTGCCAATTGACCTCCTCCCTCCTCCTCTTCGCCTTCCTGAGGTTTGTATAATAGACTGCTTGGTCCCCTTCTCCTAGCTCACAACATCTTGCTTCTTGATCTGGTCAAGCTTCGGCTTATAGACATCTTGATCGCCGCCTTTTTTCCTGTATTGCTCTTCATCAACCACATCATAGACATTGCACTTGACACCACCAGACAGCATCGTCTTTCCTATTCAGTCAATCTTCCTCTGTTATTGGTTATTCGCTTTGCATCTAAAACAGCGACCCCGTCCAGACCTCTCGATTGCCTTCCACCTGATAGACCCTCCAACATCTGAACATTTGCCAACAGACGAGATGGACGGATGTTATTGCGCAAACTATTACGTTAGTCGACCCCCTACTCAACCACGGCGTCCAGGTGTTGACCTGACCTTTTGTAGGGTTCGATCCGTTGCAACAATGTGGTAATGAGGTTCGGTGACCGATGCAAGATGTGCATGGTAGGCAGCTCCATGTGATGAGGAACCTTTGGTGGAAAAAGAATGGCGAGCTGACTTAATCCCTTCCACCTCGTAGTTGCAAAAGAGCGGCGCTTCACTCAGCCGTGGTCTCCTACCCGAGCATATGGACCTCTGGATAGGATCCTCTTCGACGCGACTGGCTAAGAACAGGGCTAGTTCTAGGAGTAGCTCTCAAAGTTCCGCGAGGTCTTCGCAGCAGTCGTTGTTAGACAGAAGGCAGTGATGGGTTGGAGTGCTTGGTACGATCCAAGAAACATAAACGTCTGCGGAATGACTCAAGAAAGAGGGAAGAACAGGCAAGCGGGGAACGGGTTTGCGAGGCCGCGATAATTGGGAATACGACACTGAAAGAAAGATGAGGAGATGCAGCGGATGCATTGATGAGGATTCGGAACTGGGTAAAACAAACCAGCTTGAACTTGACTGAAGGAAGGTCGGGCAGCGAAAGGGGTGCTTTCCTCGATGCAGGGCTCAACTATCTCTCCATCCTTCCAAGTTGAACAGCTAGGGAAGGCGTTTGGTACAAGGGGGGGGGGGGGGGCGTTTTGATTGAAAAAATAATCGCTTTTTCTTCTTCTTTTTTTGGTCCTTTGTTTAGATATCATGATGCACTAGAAAGTCAAAGAACATATGGTCATTTCATTCGTAAAGATTTCGTAGTGACAACATGTCGAGGAAGCAGGACACTCATTGACAGGATGTACACGTACCAGAAACGTCCCATTCGTATCCACGATAATCCATCCTCAAGGCCAGCCAGAGGTTGAACATGAATCAGGTGGTATTCTCTCACCATTGGAGTGGCCCCATGCATTATTGTCTCACCACAGTCGTCGTTGATAATACCCTCTCTCCTCAGGCTGCGCCAGCCTCTTGATCTCTTCTTTGATCAGCCTTCGCCTTTCTGCCGGACTGACTGCTTTCTCGGCGCGCTTGTCCGGATCGGGGTGTTCGAGCATTCCTTCGGGGATTTCGATCGGGGTGCTTCCGCTTGTCTCTTGTTGTTCTGCCTGGTTTGGTGTCTTGCTGAAATCTTGTTCTTGTTGTTGCTGTCCTTGCGGAACAACCAAGCCCTCTTGCTGCATGTGCTGCTGCTGCTGCTTCTTCAGTTGCTGTTGTTCTCTGTACTTTTGGGCTCTTGCTGATGATGTCTTTCTCATTTCCGTCTTTGCTGTCGCTGGCTCTTGCGCTGGCTGTGGTGCCGGTATTGGCTTCTGTCGGTTCTCGTCTTCTGTTTCCGATGTTTGGTGGACCTCACTGGGCGGAGTGGGTTTGATCTCTATTACAACCCTATCGTCTTGTACCGGGACAATGGTGCCATCAGGTAATTCGGTGGTCATCTTTTTAAACTGATCGGGCAAATATGTTCTTGGGGATGGCCTTGGAGTTGGCTTGATGGCCGCGCGGAGGTCCCGCAGTGTCCGCTGCTGGATTGCATACCCGCTTAGAAAGAGGGCTGCAGTGAAGATAAATACTGTTGCCAGATAAAGTGACCACGTCAGTCGGATGAATGTACTGTTTGGCCAAGGAGGTCCGTTAGTGGGAGATGCATACCGATGCCCGATGAGAAAGCGATTGATACTTGGGCTGAAGTGAGTAGCATGTTTTATCCAAGGTACTGTTTGTTGGCTGCTGCGAGGAGTATGCACACAGCGCATGGAGAGTTTGCTGAGGCTTGAGTGAGGCTTTCAGATGCACTTTGAAGCCGATGTGCGAATGTAAACAAAACGTGGAATTATCACCACCGAAAAAAAAAAAAAAAAAAAAAGAAGAAGAAAACATTGAATGAGCGTGAGAGGTACGTACACATGCAGGTTACCCGGAGTCCTGGTGTTCTTGTGCATGAACAACGTGTATTTCCACCGTGACATTCCCGTCTCCATCCTCATGTCTTCCCCCCCGTCTCTCCCAGCCCCTCCTTTCACGCGCCGCACATCGTGCCTGACGCTGTCGCTTGTCGCTTCATTGGAAGATCTCAACTGTGTCACTGGCACAACAGCTCAACACCGCCAGTTACAGTACAAGTAGAGGTACGAGGGGCACTTGGGACCTTGGGCGTTTATCGCTTATCGATAACCTGTAGAAGTATGACGATTGGCGGCTTGGCCCAGTGAATTGCCTGCCGCCAACACTCCCGTCGCGTTATGTACTTGTGAGACTTGGCGCTATCAATCACTCGAACTTCGACCTCGAATTCCACCGGCAACAACCTTTTTTTTTTTTGGTTCTCTTCCTGTCCGTAGGAAACCAAACCCTCAACTGTGCGCAACATCAATATTGTGAAACTACAATCACCGAATACTCTACGCCCTGCGCGTACTTTGACCTACACACGACAAGAACATGAGCAAATCCGAATTTCACCGTGCCGATGAGCGACGCTTCCTCGACGAGCGTGGCTCCTCAGGCCCGCTCGCTCCCAACGGCCTCAACCCGGCCACCATAATGGAAAAAGCGGTTCGGGAACGCATCATCGACAGTTACTTCTACAAGGAGCAGTGTTTCGGTGTCAACGAAGCAGACATTGTGGATCGCGTTGTCGAGCACGTTGACTTCATTGGCGGCGTCTATGGCACCGTCCAGAAGCCCTCGCCCTTCCTCTGCCTGGCCTTCAAGCTGCTGCAGCTCGCGCCCTCAGACGACATCCTCAACGAGTATCTACAATTTGGCGGCGAAAAGTTCAAGTATCTACGCGCGCTGGCGCTGTTTTATATCCGTCTCACGAGGAAGGACCAGGATGTGTACAAGACGTTGGAGCCGTTTCTAGAGGACAGGCGGAAATTGAGGCGGAAGGGTAGAAACGGCACTAGTCTGACGTATATGGATGTCTTTGTTGATGACCTATTGACCAAAGATCGCGTTTGCGCGACGAGTCTGTGGAAGATGCGGAAGCGAGACATCCTGGAAGATCTGGACATACTTGAACCACGGGTCAGTCCCTTGGGGAACATAGAAGACCTCCTAGAAGAGGAGGATGAGGCAATGCGCAAGGCAGAGGAGGAGCAGAATAGCAACGGCAGCGAAAGCGAGGGAGAGGTCAGATCAAGGACACGGTCAAGATCGCGTACGCCTAGGTCTAGGTCGAGGTCGACATCTTATTCGCGGTCCCGATCGCCGGTGACGAGGAGAAGGTCAAGGACGAGATCGAGGTCAAGAACACCGGAAGACCGCAATGGCAGGGAAAGAATGGATATCGACGGACCAGAGTAACGCCAGCGGACTCGCCAGCAAAGCTCTTCACGTAGAGGTAGGGATGTAATGCCCGACACTCGTATGTTCCCCAGGCAAGAGTCTGACTCCCTGCTTGATCAGTGGGAGTTGAGAACAAGGTGTAAACCCCTTTTTCCTAGCAGGGCTCCTCGGGAGCATTTCAAGACCCCATGTGCATTCAAGGTCCGTCAAATGTGAGCGGTTCCGACAGTTGTGGCTATAACCAGCCATTCCAGGCGTCGACATGATCATTCGTGGCTCAAGCAATACCTATCGGTGTCCCATACTCAGTTACAGATTCGGCATACCGCTGCTCGCGAATCATCAGTCAGGTCGCGAGGCGACCTTCCACCCTTCCACCTAGATGCATCAGCATGGCTTCTTCGGACTCACGGACCAGCGAATGTCCTCAACTCTGGGTCGCCACCAAAATGACTGCCTCTTTCACGGCAGAAGCAACGGGCATATTTATTTATTTGTGCATGTTGGTTTCAGTCCGGACGGTACACTTATTTAACAGTACTGCATCCCGCACCTCCCAATTTGGAGGGAAAGTCGTGATGCCAAAACTCCGCCCTTAGAACTTATAAGTACAAGACAAGCCCACACCATCCGTCTTCATAACTTTCTCTTTCCATGTCTTAATTCAAAGTCACCATTATCACATGGACCATGTTTTGTTTCCTCAGTCTTGTTGGGTCCTCGTAAAAACCAGACTCTCAAGTTCCGCGATCACTCCTGGCGGCTTTTCTTCTGCCACTCCGCTAAACTAAACCATCAGCAGCGCAAAAGACCTCCTCAAACGGATTGATCCCATCTACCTCATTTGGCCTCTTCTCCCTTCTCTCTTCATTTTTATCTCGATCCTCCCAGGCACTTTTTGCTTCTCCCTCGAAAGATGGCGGAGTTCCACGCCATCTGCACCACTCTCGAAGAAATCTCCCGACGACTCAACAATATAAGCAGAATCTCTGCGTAAGTTGAATATCACTTGTATTTATGGAATCCATGCGCTAACTTTTGTAAGAAAAATTGCTATTCATACGCAAAAATGCTCAGCATGGTACAAGGTAAGCCTCTGACTACAAGTGACTTCTTGATATCTGTACGCTTGCTAATAACATGTTGCTTCAGCAAAACCCGCGATTGAGGAAATGGTGGGCAACCGCTTGCTTGGCCATCACGGTGTTTGTAGTATTACAGACCTTCAATGCATGGCGTCTTAGCAAAATGCCACGGCAGACATTCCAGCAACCCAAAGACACCAAGGCCACCGTCACAGCATCCACACCTCCCACCTCCCATACAATATATCCCACACCCGTGCAACAAACTCAGCGCATTAACGATGGTCTCTCTTCGGATCGACGGCTATGGAGAGAGAACAATCACAAGATTGTGACACCTGCGGTCACCCAACTCCTGTCCAATATGTGCGGTCTGCATCCTCACGAAGTCCTATGGGTCTGCAACACTGTTTCCGCTTGGTTCGGCAGAGTGGGATGGGAAAGTGTCGCCTGGTTGTGGTCATTTGTTGGGGGACTACCGATTCGGAGGCCATAATATGATCAAGGAACCTGAAGGTGGCCTCTTAGGTCTGCTACGTGGGGAATTTAGGTAACACTACTGGCCGGTTTTGCAATCCTTTCGTCGTTGATCGGCTACTCACTGGTGTTTCCTCATTTTTTTGCCTGTCACTGCTATGATATGGTTGTTTCTCCTGGGGTTCGGTCTGAAGGGCAGCGATACCTCAACAATAAACCTTACCAAATTCCCTGACTACCGCAGCAGACATCATTATCATCCATGAAATTCCTGTATGTCGGCTCTCAAGATATATTAGCATTCATCTCCGGAGTTTGGACATTTACACCTTCAGTCTTCATTACAGCAAACACACCTAGATGTGATGAGAAGTTCAGATGTCATGACTTATAAATCTCCTGGCAGGTCTCGTGGTTCTCGGTAGGCCAGAGATGTGAAGGTTCGCTTGGAAACACAAACACCACTCAAAAGGAACCACTCATGGCTGTGGCTCAAGTTGTTGACTGCTCAGGACACACTCTCCATGTCTGTTAGTCTCACTAAAGCAGGAAGCTATGCCCCGGGGTAGTTGACCTAGTTCAATGGGAAACACGGCCTTGACGACTAGCTCGTGCTCCTATAACTTCAGAGAACGGTGAATATCTAACCCTAACCCTTATCAGCTTTACCCAAGCGACATAGGTACCTCTATTGTCTGGAATCCCCCTCTTGAGCTCTCCAAGCTCCGTCCGAATCTCTCCCGATTCCCGACCACGGTGAAAGTACAGAAACATGGTAATCCAACACCGCAACCGACCCAATTGAGTGCCGAACAGAGCTGGGTCGTGACCAAGAAACCACATGTCAGCTAGAATTGGGCGGCTGCGGGGCCTATGTCTGCGCCATGTGAGCTCGACAAGGCAAACGTCACCCATCCAGCGACGCTCCCTGAACCAGTTTATATCCAGAGGTACCGAACCGGATTGTGTGTGGATTTGAAATGCACTTATACCCGCTGACAAGAGTCTTCCTGGTTTGTAGTGCAGCAACATGACCAACCCGCGCGCGAACAGCGGCAGTTCCGTCTTGCCGTCAAAGACAACATCGCCACAGTTTCCCCCAATTCCGAGGAGGAAACGCCTCTAACGACGACATGCGGCTCCAACTTCCTTGCCAACTACCGCAGCCCCTTCGAAGCCACCATCGTCACCCAACTGCGATCGCGTGGCGCTCTCTTGGTCGGCAAGACGAACCTGGATGAGTTCGGCATGGGTAGCCACTCGGTACACACGGCCTTTGGAGCAGTCGCGCAGGAGGGGGAGCACGAACAACAAGCAGTCAAGCACTCCGCGGGTGGCAGCTCAGGCGGAAGTGCCGTAGCCGTAGCCACGGGGGAAGCGGACCTTGCTCTCGGTACTGACACGGGCGGCTCAGTGCGGTTGCCTGCCGCGTACACGGGCGTGGTGGGATTCAAGCCCTCGTACGGGATGCTCTCGCGCTATGGCGTGGTTCCCTATGCCAACTCGCTCGACACGGTGGGATTGCTGGCGAAGGAAGTAAGGCCCATCGCCGAGCTTATTCTTGGAGGAGCCGACAAGGTAACAAGGGGCCTCTGGGCCGAGCACGACCCGCTCGATCCCACGAGCCTCTCCCACGGGGCGCGCAGACGGTGCGCCAGCCAACGGGACTGCTACACCGGTCCCCTTCCCAAGGACCCGTACCCGCTCAAAAACCTCAAGTTCGGTCTCCCGCTCGAATACAACATTACGGAACTCTCGCCTTCCATCCGGCACAGCTGGTCCGTTGCTGCCGCCAAACTGCAATCCCTCGGCGCGCGCCTGGTCCCCGTCTCCCTGCCCTCGACCCGCCACGCCCTGTCGGCGTACTACGTCATCGCGCCCGCCGAGGCTTCGTCCAACCTGGCCAAGTATGACGGCATCCGGTACGGTACGCGCTTCACGCCTCCGACCGAGAGCGATGCGGCTGTTTCGGAAGGCCCAGAAGGACGAGAAGAAGAGGAAGGGATCCTCTATGCCCGCGCCCGCACCGCTGGTTTTGGGGATGAAGTTAAGCGTCGTATTCTCCTAGGCGCTTACACCCTCTCCTCTGCCGCCATGGATAATTACTTTCTCAAAGCACAGAAGGTGCGTCGGCTGGTAAGGCGCGACTTTAACCGCGTCTTTGCGCTGCCCAACCCTCTTCTGGACAAGCCCGAAAGATTTGAGCTCAGCGAGTTGCCGGAGACGGTCGGGCTGGAGGATAAGTGGGGACCTACGGAGGTGGATTTCCTGCTGTGCCCGACTGCGCCAACGACTGCGCCTAGGCTGGACGAGGTGTTGAGTGAGGAGAAGAAGGATCCGGTGAGCGCTTACATGAATGATGTGTTTACTGTGCCGGCGAGCTTGGCGGGGTTGCCGGCTATCAGTGTGCCGATGAGGGTTGAGGATAAGGAGGGAGCGGGCATGGCTGGGTTGCAGCTTATTGGGCAGTATTGGGATGATGCTAGGCTGCTGGCTGTTGCAGAGACGATAGCTGGTGTTGTCAGGGAGGAGCTATGGACGGCTCGAATTTTTGACGCGGTATAACAAAGATCCAATGGTCTTGTGGGTATATTTGGGTTTGTTTACTTACTTGATACCCCTGAATATCCATTATTTACGTCCATATCATTAACAGCCCATAAGGCATAGAGAGCAGTCCTAAACTATCATACAATACCATCCATTTCCAGAAACATACCTAGGAAAAACACCAAAAGAACCCCCCTAACAACTCCATCAGCTACCTCCCTGGGTATCCTCCAACACCTCCCGTCCCACTCAGTTATGGCCTTCCAAATGCCACTCGAATACCTTCTCAAATACCTCCTTCCCGTTCCCCACAATCGTCTCTCCATGACACGGCACAATCGTCTCAAAATCCCACCCATCAATTCTCCGTACACTCTCGTTGAACCCTGCCCGATCACCCCGACTAATCGCGTACCACAAAAACCTCTTGATCCCCTTGGCCTCTCCCTCGGTGCTATTCATCGCCTGGAAAACCCTCCCCAGCAAACTCCCGTGCGGCTTTTCCGCCTCGGGAACCTTGGAGTACTGCTCAATGGCAGGCAGGTTGAACATGAGATCGGCCTCGATCAGGACTTTATCCGGCTTGTAGTAAAACACCAGCTCCCTGTTGGGGTGGGCGTCGACGTATTCATACTCAAAGTCGGCATCAAAGGCCTCGTCGATCTTGACACTCTTTTTATTTTCCTTTGTGAAGACGACGGAAAAGGGTTCGTGCCCGATGCGTTCGTCGTTGGTCACCTTTGCCCGCTTTTCCGGAAGACCCTCGGGACCAATGATTTTGGCGTCGGGAAAGGCCCGCGCCCATTCGGACACGAAGATGTGGTGCTCGATATCGGTGGCAACGATGTAGCTCACCTGGCCGGAGCCGAGGGAGGAAACGCGGGAGCGGGCCGAGGGCGTGAGGGCTACGGGGGAGAAGACTGCTAGGGTGTTGTTGGAGAGGCGGACTAATTCGATGGGTGATTATGCTGTGTTAATGGAACGTGAAGAAAAAAAAAAAAAAAAAAAAAGAAAAAAAAAAAAAAAAAAAAGAAAGACGTGTGCAATAAAGAGTAGGATGCGCCTTACCCAAAGTCCCCCTCCCTCCGATAGGAATCTTTCCGAACCGCAAAAAGGGCACAGAAAAAGTGACGACGTTGGGAGTGACGTCCCGGATCACCATGACGTCGTCCGGGTTCGCGGGGACCAGTTTGTTCGACATTTTGGCTCCTATGTCTCGTCCTATCCCGGGGCGGAAGTAGACTACGGCACCTACAGAGGCGGCGGCGAGAGAGAAGAGGACGGTTGCGATGAAGGGCTTGGTTGAAGCCGTTTTGTTGTGATTTGAAGGTGGAGGGGTTTTGAAGGTGCCGCGGGGAGAGAATGGGGGGTACTTGGAAGGTGTAGTGGTGCTAAATAAAAGAAGACGGCTCGTGGTGGGATGCTGGATGAATGGAGAGGCGGTTCGTGTCAGTGGTGATGTTATAGTTGACGTAGTTTATAACAATAATCAGATCGAAGACGACAACAAGATGTATAAGCTGACAGAAGATTGGTATGTTAACATGATAGAATATTTGGAATTAGGTATTTATTAGAACCTCGGAAGGGAAGAGTGGTTTCTGTATCATATCGTAGGATAAAAATTTGACTTGGTCGGCACGTAAACCCAAAACGGCAACTTGAATCACTTACACCGGTTCCCAAGGAGGCTGCGTAGCATTTGGAAAACAGCAACGGATCACAGACGCGTCCAGGCAGCCTCGGCATCGTAATTAGTTCTTGTGCGGAATCTTATCTCAAGGAAGACGGAACGAAGGAAGGGATTGTATGGTGAGGGTGTCGTAACGGTACACAGTGGTCGTCCAAAGGGACATGAGGCCAGTGACATCATGGTTACGTTCGGCACCCGGGACCATGCAACACTCCGGCGTCCCGTCTCGGAGGGGGCCGTACGAAGACACACAGTAAGAGGTATCCTCGTACCTTCTCCCTCTAGCGCTGGTTTGGGTATGCGGGGCCGTTGAGGATGGAGCCTTTGGCTGGCAGCTGGTTCTAGGCCCCCTAAATTACTAAGCAGCTGAGCACTTACAGCGGTCGGAATTGGCTCCGGGGGCGGTTATTGCTTCGAAACGCTTCGTTTGCAAACATGAAACATGACATATCGGAACATCGGGCGGAAGTTTCAAACCTCAATCTCCCTCCGTTCCGTAAGGTCGCATGCCGAGGGACGAGAGTGTTCTTAGCTTCTACGATTACACGTGGACTCCTTTGTCGGTCTTCGGGAGTTCATGTGGGAGCACCAGGGCAGTGAGTCAAAGCGTCCATCAACTCCATCAACTCCTAGGTAAGTCAGGTATCCAACAAGACAAAAGAAACAAGAAAACAATATATATCCCTTTAGCGTCAGAGAAACAAAACATCTTCTATCCCCCACTCATTGTGTTCCTTCTAATCATCAACGGCGTCCCATCAGCATCGTATACCCCCGTTCCATTCCTCCATGTACTACCACCATAATCACTCCCAAACAAAAGAGGATGTACCACGTAGTCATTCACCCATCCCAACAGAAACTCCAGCGGCGGCTCAAACCAAAACCTATGATCAATCTTCATAGGCGACCACCCCGGGTACGGTTCTCTCCCAATCAAGCTGCGTAAGTACGGCCTTCTCCAGTCGTTGGCATTCATCCACACTCGCCTCTCCTGTAAGACGGCGTAGTATGTCAGCGTCATGCCCACACAGAGGAGGGCAACGGTGAAGCCGACAAGCGATGAGGCTGTTAGCCAGGACGGGATGCCTAGGGCTGGCTTTTGTAAGCCGGCGTAGATATCCGATGTCGGCCTTGGCGTATTCTTCTTGGTTTTTGACTCTTGCCAGTGACGGTATCGTCTGACGGCAACTTGACCGTAGTATCTGCCCCAGCCGAGCAGGAATTGTGGTAACCGCAGGATGGCGAGCATGCCAGAGACGCCCACCGTGACAAAGTGGTAGGGTTGGATGCAGACCAGCATGGCGAACCAGAGCAGCGCCGTCATGATGTAACAGAGTGCTGTTTGAACTTCGGGCAAGTGTTGATGGTTGTGACCGTGATACAACGATGATAGAGGTGCGCGTTGAGATGTCGTTGCTGTCAGTTGTTGCGCCTTCTCGGGCCTCTGGCAATCCTGACATATCGGTCCCTGGTTCGTAACTCTCCTCATAATACTGGGCGCGAAAAACTTCAACAAAGCGCAGAAACACAACTTCTCGCCTCTGCGTTCTGGCAACCTCCCAACCTCCAAGTTCACCAACGTCGTGGTCACCTGTTTCTCCACCACCCGCCTCTGCCGGGTCTCATCGAGATCCAGTTCCCTCTCCAGCAGCCTCGTCCGCCCACGGCTCCAAGCCAGCCACTCCCTGAAGCGATCCGTCAACTCCTTGTGATTTCTTCTCGCAGCCGCTGCCTCAGCAGCAGACCCCTCAGAAGCAACGCTCCCATCAAACTCCATCTCCAATCCATCAATCATCCCTTCCAGCTTATCTTGCTTCTCCCTCTGTTTCGCCAACTCCCTCTTCATCGTCCCCCTCACTACCATCCTCTCCGCATCCGTCGTCATCCCATCTCCTCTCCCTTCTCCCTCCTGCAACGCCCTCCTGGCCTCCGCCAACAACCGGTCCAACTGCTCCTGACTCAACGCGCTCGCCGATCCCACGGGCATAGGAATCATCTCCATAAAATCATCAATCACCCTCACCAGCTTCTGGCTCCCATCAGCTGACAGCCTTTTAGCCAACGGCTCGCCACAGTCATCATATGACGTATCCGATGCTGTATCTGAGCTCGAAGACGACGACGACGCCGCCGCCGCTTGTGCAAGTCGACCTTTGTACTCATCCAACAATCTCTTCTGGCTTTCCTGCTCCTCTTGCAACTCAGCAATAGTCATCTTCATTCTCGCCAGCTGCGCTTCGTTAGTCCCCGCATCGCGAAGCAGTGTGTCGATGCGCTTTTCGTTATCTGCGATCTGGGTTTTCTTGGCGGTGATATCCTCGTTGAGATTCGTGATTTCGGATTGGAGCGAGGCGATCTCGGCTTCGCACGCTAACAGACGGGTTTGCGTGGCGGCAGCGGAGCGGGCAAGTTCCTCTTGGGAAGTGGTGTTGGAGGAGGCGAGTATGTCGTAGGCTTGTTGCGCTTCGGTGAGTTGGGACTCGAGCGTGTTGATGGCTGCCTGTTTTGCGTCAAGGGCGGCTTGTCTGGTGGTGAGCTCTTGCTTGAGGAGGGCGATTTGATCGTCGCGATGGGAAACATTGACGCCTTCGGCAGCGAGGGCTTTGGTAAGGTTTTGGATATCGGTCTGCAGACCGTCACGCTCGGCCCGCAGGCTGGCCAGATCATTATCTTTCTCGAGAAGTTGGCGGCTAAGCTTCGTGACCTCATCACCCAACCGACCAAGCGGATCGCCTTCCTTAGCAGCACGATTCCGCAGTCCGGCATTTGTCTCCTCGAGGCTCTTGTTCCTGATTCTCTGCTTATCCAAGTCCAATCGCGCTGCGCTCTCGGAGTTCGTGAGCTCCAGGATCTTATCCGCACGGAGGTCCAATGATCTCCTTCTGCGACCAACTTCTCCTTCAAGCTGCTCGACCTTTTCCCTAAGAGCAGTCTTCTCCTTCTCGAGTCGCTCCAAGGCAGTTTCCTTGGCTGCGATACTCTTCCTGAACTTTCCAAGTTCCCCATCGCGACTCTTCAGCTGAGCGTCCTTTTCGACGAGGTCCTTCTTGAGGCCGACGATTTCGTCTTTGAGTGCATTAATTTCACCCTGCCGTGTTGCCAAAAGCGCCTCCTTCCGCTTAATCTCCCCCTGCAGGTTCTTGATGTTATCATTCAGCTTGTTGATTTCCGTCTGGCGCTGCTTCACCGTCTCCTCCCAGCTCTTACTGTCCTCCTTCAACTTCACAGTGTCCTTCTTGAGCTTTGTAGTTTCGTCGCCAAGTCGTCGGACGTTTTCCTTGAGTCTATTGATCTCGTCCGTATTTTGCAAGAGAGTGGTATCCCTGGTGTCGAGAGCCTTGTTAAGTTCCACCATTTCGTTGCGCAGGCCGTTGATCTCTTCCATCTTTTGGGCTAGCACGATGTCTTTGGACGTGGTAGCTTGGTTCAAGTTGGCGGCGTCGCTCTTGAGCTTGGTGACTTCGGTTGTAAGTTGCTTGATTTGATCGTTCAGCTTCCTTATCTCGTCGTTCCTTGCAGTCAATGTGGCATCTTTGGCGGTGGTTTTCTGGTTGTGCTCTGCGGCCTTGGTCTTGAGCCTGGTGACTTCGGTGTTGAGGCCCTGGATGGTCTTTTCCATGTTCTGGATGTCCTTCTCTTTTTGCGCGAGGGCCCTGTTCTGGATGGCGATGTCCTCAGTAAGGTTCTCGATGCTTTTCTTAAGATCATTTGCTTCGGCTGTGAGTCGTTGGATATTTTCCGTGAGTTTCTTGATATCCTCGTCCTTTTTGAGCAGGGAAGTCTCATGGGCACCAATGGTTTGGCCCATTTGAGCCTTTTCTTCTGCGAGTGTGGTAGCTTTCTTTTCCAATTTCTGGACACTTCCCTTGAGGTTGTCGATGTCTGAATTGGCTTTCTGTAGGGAAGCATCTCTCTCGCCGATGGTTTGATCCTGTCCAGCGTTCAGCTTCGAGAGTTCGGCAGCTTTTGCTTCCAGTATCTTGATGCTGCCCTGGAGGCCATCAATGTCCTTGTTCGCTTGCAGCAGGGCAGCATCTCTAGCGCCAATGGTTTGTCCCAAATCGACCTTTTCCTGTGTGAGATGAGCAGCCTGCTCAGAAAGACGCTTGATTTCTTTCTCAAGACCAGATATCTCTTGCTCCTTTTGCTTCAAAGAGCTATCCCTGGTATTGATCGTCCGACCAAGCGCCTCCTTGTCTATCTTGAGGCTGCTGGCTTCATCCTCCAGTTGCTTGATCTGCTCCCTAAGCTTACGCAGTTCCTCGTTCTTCTGAGAAAGGGTACTGTCCCGAGTTTTGGAGGTTTGATTCAGCTCCTCGGCGGTATCCTTGACCTTCTGAATTTCCTGTTGAAGTTCAAAGATCTTCTTTTCCTTTTCTTTCAAAAGGGCGTCTCTATTAGCGAGATCTTCGGCGGACTTCTTGAAATCTTGGGCAGACTGCTTGGCCTGGTTGGTGAGGTCACGGACCTCCTTGCGAAGACTGACGAGTTCTTTCTCTTTCCCCAGTATGGCGGCGTCCTTGTTGGTACCTTCCTTCTTCAGCTTCGCTACTTCGCTATTAAGTTCGGTAATGTCTGCCTTTAGGTGATCGACTGCCTCGGCCTTTTTAGCCAAGCTCTTATCCTTGAGAGTCACGTCTTCTCTCAACTTCACAATGTCGGCTGTGAGACCCTTGATCTCCTTCTCAAGCCTCTCAATCTTGATCTTATCCTGGGCAAGTTGAGTGTCTTTTTCGTCGACACTTTGATTCGACCCTTTGAGTTCTTCGGTCTTCTTTGCCAAGGCAGTTTCTTTGACACGAATCTCCTCCCGTAGCTTAGCAAGCTCAGCGTTCTTCGAGCCAACTTCACCCGTCTTTTGCGTCAGACTAGCGTCCTTGGTACTGAGCTCTTGGTTCAGCTTCGCAATATCCTTTTCAAGCTTGGAGATTGCGTCCTTGTCCTGGGCGAATTGAGCATCTCTGCTGGTGACATCTTTTTTCAACCCTGTGGCTTCGTCGGTCAGTTTGTTGACGTTCTTCTCAAGACTACTGGCTTCCTCAGTCTTCTTTGCCAGGGCAGCCTCTTTGGCACGGAGCTCTTCCCGCAGTTTGGCAATGCCAGCATCTCGAGAACCAATTTCGCCCGCCTTCTGTGTCAGATTGGCGTCCTTGGTGCTGAGCTCTTGTTTGAGCTTTGTCACATCAGTCTTGAGATCAAAGATGTCCTTGTTGAGTTTAGAAATCGTGGCTCGGTCTTGTGCGAGCTGGGTAGTTTTGGTGGCGAGGTCCTGGTTCAACCCCTTGGCTTGGTCGGTAAGTGTCTGGACGTTCTTTTCGAACGCCTTGGCTTCTTCTGTCTTTTTGGCAAGTGCAGCGTTTTTGGAAGCAATCTCTGCCTTGAGTTTGGCAAGTTCAGCATCCCTAGCAACGACGTCCTTCGTCTTGTGAGCGAGGCTGGCATCCTTCTCGTTGACCTCCTTCCTCAACGTGTCGATGGTGCTGTTGGCTGTTTTGATATCGTCCTTGAGCTGATCAATTATCTCCCTCTTGTCATCCAGGGTGGCGTTCTTGGTGCTGATGTCCTGGTTCAACCTATCGATGCTGTCTTTGAGGGCTTGGATCTCCTTCGTTTTCTCAGCTAGGACGGTCTCTTTGGCTTCAGCATCCTGGCTAAGCTTCTCTTTGGTGGATTTCATGTCTTTGATGTCGTTGTTGAGAGCATCAACCTCGGCTTGAGATCGCTTCAATTTGTCTTTGCAGCTACTGATTGCATCGGTGAGCTGCTTGTTGTCAGCCGACAGCTTTTCGATTTCGGCCATCGTCTCTTCTAGAGTAGTCTCGTGGTCACTGATGTCCTTTTTGAAGTTCTTGATTTCATCCCGGAGCTTCTTGATGTCTTCGCCCCTTTTCATCAGCTGGTCTCCCTTGTCCATCACATGGGTGTTCAGATCATCAACCTCCCTCTGCAACTTCCTAATTTCGCCATCTTTCGTGTCGACCACAACCCGTTGGTCCTTATTGTCCTGCGTGAGTTGAGCAACTTGGTTCTTGACACGCTGAAGCTCAGAGTTAGATCCCTCCAATTCGGACTTCTTATTCACGAGATCCTGAGAAAGCCGCTTGGCAGTATCCCTCAGCGTCTTGATTTCCTTCTCGTGATCCTCCAGGATCTTGTTCTTGTCCTTGACATCCATATTCAACTTGTCGACTTGGTCCTGGATCTTCTGAGTTTCCTCTTGATTCATGATCATCTGATCCTCCCAATACT